GCTAGTGCAGCGAATGCTGGCGAACACACAGGTTGAAATCACTCGATACAAGACAGTGGCGGCGGTGTCGCCAACTTTTATCAGAGAGAAAGGTCACAGGTTGAAGTGTGCTGGCAAAGTGTGGCCTCACCGATTGGAGACCTGCACCTGATTGCACAGAGAGAAAAAGAGAGAAAGCGCGATAAATTTCAGACAGTTCATTAGAGTGGGCTCAGTTGATAGCATCAGGCACACTGAGGAAACCTGTGAAAACATGTGAGTTCATCAACAGTCTTTGGGGCCCCTTTTGGGCTCTCAATACACTACAGTGCTCCTTGAATTGAGTCATTACAATTTAAAGCCATTGACGTCTAGCTGAAAAAGTAGTGCAATCGATTCTCCAAATTAGAGCCAATTATAAAGTGATCGTAACGTTGAGTGCAGATAGACAGAAGGAGAGAACATTTAAATGCTGCATACATGTTCAGCTAAACATGCAAAAATCTGTAGAGAAAACTAAAAGTGCCAAAGATAAAGCCATTTGAAAAACGAAAAATTAATTACACATTGGCAGACGGCTCGACATTTGAAGTCTGCTTCAGTTTGGGGCAAAATGAAAATGGTGATGGCCAATGGCCACACAGCGGCACATCAAACCGCAAAAATGCAAACAATTAAAATGAATGCAGTGCTAATTGCCCAACATTAAGGGAAATAACATTCAACACAAGAACATTCAGCACTGTTCACAGTCTTGTGACATGCCTAATAACTGCTTTTCTGACAAACTAAATGCCATTCTGGTTAAAATGTGTAAGTGAATTTTTTCAGTGGCGATGAAGGACTCAACAGTTATTATAAATACTGCCTTAACAGAAGCTAATTGAAAGAGTCTAGGGTCATTTGTACGTTTCAAAAGTGACCATTTAGCACTAAAAAGCTTCTGCAGCAGCTTCCAATTGGTGCCTTGGTGGTCTGTTTTTCAATCTGCTGATGATAGCCAGTCGGTGTCAAAGTTGATCGACAAATTATTAGAAGTGCCTGCCCGGCAATCAATGGCACACATCGTAAATCTTGCCGTTTAACAGGCAGTTAACCCGTCTACTGCACATCTAATCAACAAGAATTTGCATGCGCTTGTAAACACATCGACGAGTACAATGCACAACAATTGCAAAATGATGGTAAAAGTTAAGTAAAACTGCAGCAGATTTTGTGGGCAGTCTTGTTTGCGCCACATCTGTTGCAGTCAGTGACCAGGCACGAGGACAAACACACCGGCAAAGTCCCTGACAGCTCAATGGACTAGCTAGTTCATAAGCGAGAGAGAAAAAAGTGCAAAAAGTGAAACTCAAGTCTCGAAGGAGTTAAAGTCAATATTGACCTGGCAAATGTACCCCCAGAACCTGGTGATGGACAAACTGTGTGGTCTGTGTGGTCTGGCGCGACGGGTGAGCATCAGCTTCAGCAGCGACGACAGTGCCGCTGAGCTGGTGTTAATTACCGCGGCTGTTTGTGGCAATTCATTACCAGCTTAGGCAAAGCCACTATGCAAACAAATGACAAATGAACTTGTTCGACAGGGAGTTGCGTACAAATTAGTCGGCTGCTGTGTGCACAAACTGTCGATAGTAGACGAGCAATTATGCAAATTGGGGATGAGGTAGTGCTTCAGCCTAGTGCAGCAGCAGCCAAGTTCAATACCAAGTTAAATTCTGAAAAGCGAAGAACCTCGTAATGACAATGTGCCTGAATTAACCATGAATAGTAAATGGCAGAGAGGAGAGCATTGTCTTTGCTCGCGCATTCTCCACCTGATTACAGAGGCAGTCACTGAAGCACCGAGTGCACACACAAATGATAGTGCTCGGCAGCCGAAGAGCCGGCAATTAAAGTGGGCGATCGCCAATCGAAGCATGGCACCAAGCCTCACTACTTCAATGACTACATGCCCAAATCTACTGCATCAAATTCGAAGCAATCAAAAATGGACTAAAGGTGGCACATCACTCCAAATTGAACTTCGCACATCATTTATCATCGCCCTACTTTGGCATTCATTTAAATACTTTTGCACCCTTAATCTGCCATTAAAAATATACAAATTAGAGAGATGTGCCCAGGTAAATGATGCTACTGACTTTGAAAATTCCTTCACATTCAGATGCAGAGTTATTGTGCAGGATTTGAAAAAAATATATTTTTTAGTTTCAAACACTATGCTGCCTCCTGGTGGCTGTGAGGAGATGTGGAGACTTTGAAAGTCAAACATGTACCCGAAAAGTACATCTCTCCCTGCTTCACTTTCATTTTGTTAACTGTTGCGTAGTTTTATTAACTCGTACAAAAAGTGACTATATGTACAGAATACATCAGGCATGCGAGGTGATCGGGGAAGACTTGATTTGGTGGTGTGAGGTGTGAGTGAGGAGGGTTGAGCTAATGGGTTCGATGACTATGGTGTGTGCAGGCGATAGCTTTCGGGGGGGATCACAATTGGTTCGTGGTAGTAGTGCTAGCCAAAGGTTGAGCAAAGGGTTATAAGTAAAACTAACGTTGCGATCCGTTAAAAATAAGTAATCTATCACGATATAGTGCTATGACTTTAAAAAACATAACAAACAGCATGGTAAACATGCTAAAACTCTAAATGGCGGCTGAGCAAAGGTGACAGGTATAAAAAGTATAAGAATACTATAAATCATCCTCATCAGTTTCACTAAGATTACTTGAATGAAAGCCACCGTCGTTAAATAAGTTCGCTGGTTTGAGTGGGAAAGTTAAGTTGATTGCGCATTCTGATAAGGAAAAGAGAGCTACCGTGTTTAGGGACATTGATGAGCGCTTAAGGCCGACCGGCATCTACGAAGACTGCAGCAAGTTTTGGTAAATTCGCTGACCCCAGAAAGATTCCAAATCAAAAGGAACAAAGTTTTCTGTGAATGTAAACGCAAAAGAATGCTTAAAGCAAACAGCAGACAATAATGTTTACGCTAGAACACATACTGGGAATCGAGGAAGTTGTACAGCCACTGATGTATTTGATTTTGCCAGTTGCCGCAGAACCGTTCACCGCCGAGCCATTGCCGATGCTATTTGTAGTACTGTGCGAATCACCGTTCGGTGTCTGTTGTTTATTTGAATACTCGAGCTCTTGCTTGATGCATCGCCAGCCTGAGAGTGAAGCGAGAACAAACAGTTTGACATTTACCGGGTTAGCACCTAAGAAGAGTGCACCTGGAGCACTGCCAGAAAGAGAGCCAACTTACTCGAGTGTACGTAGTTGATCATTGCTTCATGCTGAGCGGATATTTCCTGAGCGACATTGCTGCCATTTACCTGATTCAGTCGCTTGTCGTGTATTACCGGCTTCGGGATAGAGCTAGAAGGTAAAAGAAATCAGTGGAATGATCATCATCAGCTACCGTGTCATTTCATTTACCAAAATTGTTTCAGCTCCTGAGCGTCCTTTTTGATGGACGAATCAAAGGAATTCAACTTTTGTGGTACGGCTAGAGCAATCAGGAGTAATCAAACAAAATGGTAAGGTACAGATATGGCAGGAGTGCGAGAAATCACTTACTTCTTCTAGTCTTGACAAACAGTTTGTTACACCGGTTATCCCTGGGCACGAGATACATCTCCCGACCAAATGAGACGACTGTGTTTCTGGTGTAAATTACAAAAGAAAGAAAGAAATATCGTCTTTGCCACTGGAGCAGTTGGCGTCTTCTTCCTCAGGAAAGAACGGTACTGCTTCAACAACTGAGAGAGTGAAGAAGGCACCAGCGCTGGATGCGGTCGTCGAGGAATGGTGAAGGAGAGAGTGAGAGAGTGAGAGAATGGCAGAGAGGACGTAGCGAGAGGACGTAGAGAGAGAGAGAGAGAGAGAGAGAGAGAGAGAGAGTAGCGTGGTGCTGCTGCTACTTGTGAAGAAGACGGAGAAGATGGCTTACGGAGAAAAGTTGGCTTACTGTGTCCTGGCTGGCATGCCACCACCATCACAGTCAAACACTCTGGCGAGGGCGCTTGCGGAAAGAACAGTGTCGCACGCTGAAGAGTGGGAACAGACGACGGTGATGAAGCAGATAACAAACGGAGCAAGATGGCAGTGCTGCTGCTGGTCTGACCGGTCGTGGCCACTGGCCAAGGTTTTATCGACGACCAAACAGTGAGACGACAACGACGTTGCTTGTAAGGAGTCACACTTCTTGAATTTGCTAGGATTGTCTCCTTCATTCGCACAGAAAGCTTGATTGCTGAAGGCGATATCGTTTCGAGACGGGGACAACCACCGCCGGTCTGCCACCCGTGTTGTGCATTGCATCACTCAGAGCTTGCGTTCTCACATGATTTTGTTTTTAAAAACAAAAACTATTTGCCGTTAAACCTCTGATAAAATCGTCAAAATTAAAAGATTCAAGAATAAAAAAGCTTAGGTTCACCAGAAAATAAACATTACGTCACTTGCCTTTGAGAAGTGCTCTTGCAGTCACGTGATCAAACAAAAGCACGTGCTTCTCTTTCGCTTTCTTTGCATTGACTGGTTTACACTTTAAAAAGAGTAACCTTCAATGTGTAAACTTAACAGTGAGTTCAGCTGTGTAAGCTCCTCCTCTGCTGAGCGTAGTGCTAGTCGCCGCCANCGTTCTCACATGATTTTGTTTTTAAAAACAAAAACTATTTGCCGTTAAACCTCTGATAAAATCGTCAAAATTAAAAGATTCAAGAATAAAAAAGCTTAGGTTCACCAGAAAATAAACATTACGTCACTTGCCTTTGAGAAGTGCTCTTGCAGTCACGTGATCAAACAAAAGCACGTGCTTCTCTTTCGCTTTCTTTGCATTGACTGGTTTACACTTTAAAAAGAGTAACCTTCAATGTGTAAACTTAACAGTTTTTCAGCTGTGTAAGCTCCTCCTCTGCTGAGCGTAGTGCTAGTCGCCGCCACTGGAGCGCTAAAATCGACTCTTTCACGATCCCGCCAAAACAAAACAGTCTGTGACAATTTTTCAATCAAGATGCAACTCAAAACGAAGGAGATAACGTACAAGAATGAGGAGTTCATCATCAAGAAGTTCAAATACGACCTACAGTTCTTTCCATACTACAATGCCCGCTTTAATGCAATGGCAGGTAGGATATTACTTTGCAGGGATATTTGTTGTGCACCATTGTTGTTTAATACTGCTTTACTTTGTTTAGAATCGGTGAGGAAACAAGCCACTATATCGTGGCCTACAACACCTATCCACGACATGTCCGATCTGGCTACGAACGAGGAGGATGAAGAGGAGGATGAACACATGAAAAATGGTGGCTCCTCACAGGGTAGTGACTCGAAACGATCACACATTGATTTAGAAATCCTCAATGGAAAAGTGGTAGTGGTCTTGGGCACTTTGTTCAAAAAGATGCCCAATCAGCCAAACATCCTAAAGGAAGTGGATGCCGAGAAAAAATTGTTATCCCTGAAGCACGCAGATGAAGAGGTGACAAACTTCGTGTCCAAAGAGGACCGGATGTACCTGCAAGCCGGAAACGAGACCATGGAACTGAAAGGCGAAGAGTTAAAGATGGACAAGTTGTGCACCGGCATTTGCGTTGCCGTCAAAGGGCACATTAACCAACATGGCAGCGGCTTCATCGTCGAGGACATTTGCCATGTAGCTATTGACGAAGTAGAGCGGCCACTCAAACCCGTCGACTACTACGTTGTCATCGCCTCTGGGCTAGGCTTTTCAATGGACATGGCTAAAAATGACCTGCTGTCGAGTTCGCTGAACCTTCTCTTTGAACTTCTCGTTGGCAATTCGATCCTTTCAAAAGATAAGCAGATTACCAACTTTATCATTGCCGGCAACTGCATCGGCAAAAACGCCCGAGACGAAGAAAAGGATGCCAATGAGGAGGACAAGTTGACGCCGCTATGGAACAAAAAGGTTCAATCGTTCACGGTGGACGCCGTCAAGTTGCTGGACAAGTTCCTCTGCACTGTTGGCCAGTTTCTCTCGGTGGACATCATGCCTGGCGTGCTGGATCCTTGCAACACCCTCTGGCCACAGCAGCCAATGCACCCGTGCCTCTTCCCCAATGCCTATCGCCTTGATTCAGTGCTCTCGGTGACCAATCCCCACAGAGCCAGCTACTTTGGCGTGGAGTTTTTCGGCACCTCCGGACAGAACGTCGACACTCTTCGCTCCTGTACCGCCCTTTCAGAGAGCACCGAGATAATGCGCCACCTAATGGAGTGGGGACACATTGCGCCCACCTGTCCGGACACTCTGCCCTGCTATCCGTACTCCACCAAGGATCCATTTGTGCTCACCAGCTACCCTGACATATTCTTTGCCGGCAATCAGCCAGAGTTCTCTGCGACCTCCTTTGAAACGCCCGCCGGCAAGAAGGTTCAACTGCTAGCGGTGCCCGCGTTTGAAGACTCGCGCATTGTCGCCATGGTCAACCTGCGCACGCTAAAGTGCGAAATGATGGCTTTTAACTGAAGCTGTCAATTGATTAACCTATTAAATTATACATGGGTGTAAGGGTCACTTCGCGCCTAAAACACTTTTTTCTTAAAAAGTTTGCTTTTTCCTTCTAACACTCTGCGCTCATTGAAGCCTGAGTAGTGGTCGAAAAACATCATTTTTAGGAAAGTTAAATTAGATTTATTGGAGTTTTTTTATATTCAGGCGGCGGGGTAAGGGGAACTTCGATAAAAGTGGACATTTTCAAGTTTGAAGCACATGATGGGTCATGGTAGATTGGGTATGGTGCGTTAGAATAAGGAGTTTTTACTTGAGTAGAATTCGCTTGAAGGCGATAAGTTTTGATAAAGTGCAAAACAATGCTGAGAATAATAAGAATGACTGATAGAAGCGCCACAGATACGCAAATGTAAAAAATGGCTTGAATCGATGAATTGGCGTTGGTAGACATGTTTGCAAAGGTTTGGTAGACTTTTCTGGTAAATGTTTATAATGCGTTATTTACATGCAAAGACAATAGAATCACTATGGAAGTATATTAATCAGTGACTCACAGAGATAANTTCTGGTAAATGTTTATAATGCGTTATTTACATGCAAAGACAATAGAATCACTATGGAAGTATATTAATCAGTGACTCACAGAGATAACGAGCAGTGCAATATGAGTCGAGAAACCCTGAGCAGCACTATCTCATGCTTGGAAACACCAACTGCGCATATTCTGTGGCGTGAGTCCCGTGAACAAGTTGGCCACTGTTTGGAGGCATGCCTATAACCGCATAGCCATTTCCGTCCGAAGGAATGCCATACTGATAGAGACTCGGGTACATGGCCGTCAGTGGTGGAGCAGATGCAATCGAAATTCCATGAGAACTCTTATCAGAATCTTTTGTGCAACAACTTTGAAAGACAATATACAAAAGATAACATAGGAGGAGGATAATTATGGGAAGGCCAATAACGAGAATAAAGCAAAAAATATCGCGAATCATTTTACCAAATTAATTAATATAAAAAGTTGACCAACAGTTTTAAAATAAAATGTGTACATTTAATTTAATTAGATAGAATGCAACAACTGTGTTTCATGAGCAAGACCGGATATTCTTCAAGATAACTGTTTTCCGTTTTACATATTCATCCGGAAATGATGCAGAGTTAGACTTCTTTGTAATTTTTATGATTTAAAAAAATTTTTTACAAGAAACCACAAGATTGGCGCTAGAACCATAAGTACCACAGTTGATGCCAGAACATACTTAATAAAAGCGCCTTTTTTCTCAACACATATCATTCTGCCAGAATCCAACTCAAAGTGTTCTTCATTACACTCGCAATTTAACTTCCGCGTACATAGAGAATGAGGAAAGGCTTGCAGGCACTCGTTATCATTAAGACAGTGAAGAGCCCTGCAACCACCTGTTTCATTGAAGACGTAGCCGAACTGACAGGAGCATGTACTGTTGAGGCATACGCTGTGCGGACCACAGTCTGAGGTGACTGAGCATTCTTTGGTAATATTTTGGGTGATGCATGTTTGTAGTTCATTGTCAAACACGTATCCCACCGGGGAAGGGCAACCACATTTTGCGGGAATATTTGGGTTCGTTGGCTTTCGACAGTGTGTTAGCCGTCCAAAGTGGAAAACACAGCGTCTATCGTCAATACACGCAAGTTGGTCACAGTTAAATAGATCGGAGTTAACATAGTTGTTAAATTTACAACGACAAATTTTTTCTTTTTCTCCGTAACAACCAGCATTAACTCCACATTCAAAATCTGTTTTGCATTTGTTTCCAATTCGCTTGTTACATTGCTGATTTTCAGGATCTAAACTGAAAGTGTCATAACACGCACACTTTCCGTTTTTGCACTCGCTATACGGTCCAAAATTATCAGTGCAGTTTTGGATTGAT